GTTATAAATGTAGATGATTCTGTATTAAAGGGCTTTCCATTAAATTTATTTGGACTTCTTAGTATGGCAACATCCACATATACTACTACACCTTTACATTTCATTCTATTTGAAGTATTAAAATGGCATAAATACAAAAATAACACCTAATATTTGAAGAATACTTGGGGCATTTGTATCAATTACGTAGAGAGCTAGAGAGAAAGAGAATTAGAGTAACACAACAATTTGTGAGAGAGGAGATCAAGAGATTTAATTTGATCATGAGGTATTTCACCATCAAATGTTTTTTTTCTCTTCTCTCATTACAATCTCTATTAATATATAAAATCATTTTCTATTTTTGTGTTTGGTGATGAAATCTCTTTCTATCATCAATCCATTCACAGGTAGAGAGAGAAAACGTAAATTAAAGAGTCTTTCCTTCGTTTCTATATCTTTCAGTCACCATCAACCATGAAACAACAAAAGCTGTAAAAATTATTTCTTTGAGAGGAACATGGATGGTCGTGCAACAGCGGCTGAAAGATTCTTTTCTGAAAATGAATATATTTGTTTAAATTAACCATCATCACCTCAACAACATCTAAATATTTCTGGAATCTAGAGGGACTGTAACACTCTTTCTACTTTGCGATACTTTAGCCAAGATCATTTGAGATGACAGCATTGTTCGAATAAGCATCTAATCATCTACAGAACTTGATCCTACAAAGTCATCACAAGGAGGAGGCCTCTATTTCAACATCCAACAAATCATTTCTGGTGACTTTATGGAATTCATTTTTGTATGTTGCTGCATTTAAATGTAGAATGAGCAATAGCATTGTTACTGTAACACTTGTAACGACAGTCACAGGTGAAATTGGAATAATACTGCATTGAAATAGTAATTGGTATTACAAAGCAAAGGTATTAAGGCACAGGTGGTCCGACTACCTGATAATAATTTTGTGTTATCAAGTTTTACTGTTTATGGTGTTGAGTGAATATTCCCCTACTAAACTGCAATTTGAAAAAGAAAAGATCCATGTTAATATCATGGGCCATTATATAATTTTTGTAATACTAGTAACACTAGCCTCTTGTGAAGCTAGAATAATGCGTGTACGAGAGGGAGACATAGCAAAACTTGATTTCTCATATTCTTGTAACAGTACAAGAATTACATTGCAATATGGATATCGAGCCCCATGCTACAGCTCTGCAAATCCAGCATCTTTGTCGATGCCGGCGAATCAGAAACTACAACTTGAGAACGGAAATGATAGCTGTTCTATTCACTTGACAATCAATCCTGTTTTAAGGGATGACGAGGGTACCTACATCCTCACTGCTTACAAGAATGGTGTCATGCTTCCAGACTATCCAAGGATTGGGCTACGTGTTGATTATCCTCCTGGTAAGGTATCGTGTGAATCGAGCAATGATTTTAATGGTGAGGACTGGATCACTCTGCGATGTACAGCTCCGCTAGGGACTCTCCCAGGCCTGATTGTATGCTATCAAAATGGTCTCCGGTTACCCCCATTTACTAATCCGGAACAAACGGATCGAATAATCGCCCAGACTTTACTAGCTAGATTTGTAGATACAAATGTATTTTGTTGTTCTGCTTTGCTTGAGGAAAGAAAAAATGAGTGTGAATGCAATGATTTTGGTTGGGACCCAAGTCGTAAGACTGCTTTAACTGAGAAAAATGGCCCTTGCCCTACTCAGCTCTCATTTACTACACAAGATCCTACATCATCTAATACCCTTACTGGGGATGTTCAAATGGATTCTTCTAATTCTACCCTACCAACTAGAATCCCTGAGAAAACAATATATTCTTGTGATAACAAAAGTTTGTTTAGTTGTAACAAAAATTTGTTTAGTTCAATGCACCGTTTAATTGTTGTGGTTGTTATCCTTATCATAATCAATATCATTTTAAGTGCAGGGCACGTATTTAAGACTTGGAAAATTGAGAAGAGTCTTAGAAACCTTGGTAACTTTGATACATCCGATGTGATACAGAACTTGAGATCACTGGTCAAAGAAAATGAAAATGTGATGTAAGAAAGGTCTGAAACTAAGCAAAGTGCAACATTCATCATTGTTTTGATATTTTGATGTAGTCTATACATTATCCATGTAATTATGAGTATCTTTGTTTGAGATAATCAATATGAAGAAAAGAAAAGAAAGGGACATAAAATGCAAGAAAAAAAAATGTACTGCCTATGAACCTCTTTTACCAAAAGAGGTTCATTAGAGCTTATCTTTAAATTTTACCCCATTTTAGACAAACTAAATACTGTATTATTTTGCAATAACACCTGTCTTAAAACATATGCAAACCATTACAAAAGCTGCAATAAGTTCTGTTTACTACATGTATTTGTGGTGATTTCACATATAAATGTATGTGTGTAAGAAATATTTAAAAACACTGCCAAATGTTTGTTGTACAATTTATTTTTTACAAAGGTAACAATGTAATTTTGTCTTACAGTGCTATTCACCTTGATCATTAAGGGCCATCACTATGGTTACTTACCTTTAAAATGTCATTGACTTTTACTACAATGGGCACCATTCATCATTTTTAAACCTTATACTGTGTACCATTCATCATTTTAAACCTGAAGGATATACCATATCGGTATGCTGTACATGTAAATATGGGTAATGTGATGTGTAAAATGAAAATGACTTTTTAATAATCTAATGATGATAAACTCTTTTTTGAAGATTTTGAAGATTCGCTTTTGATGTCTACATAACGTGTAATAATTTAAACCTTACAATTTGTGCACCATTCATCATTTTTAAACCTACATGTTGTATATGCTGTAAATGTAAATGACTTTTAAACTAATGATGATAAAACTCTTTTTGAAGATTTTGAAGATTTAAGATTTGCTGTTGATGTCCACATAATGTGTAATACTTTTAAACCTTACAATATGCACCATTTACCATTTAAAACCTTATAATGTGCACCATTCACCATGTTTAAAACCTAAAGCATATTTATGCTGTACATGTAAATATGGGTATGATGTAAATGTAAATGACTTTTAATCTAATGATGATAACTCTTTTTGAAGATTTGAAGATTGCTTTTGCTGTCTGTATACCGGTACATAATGTGTGCACAAATTTATTTCAATCACTTCTGATTTATGCAATTATATATGCTGCAATTTAGCCTTTAGTGTACATAATATAGAGATGTATGACAACAATTATACCATTTTCGTACAATTGTGTGAGGAATCTCTTTTTTACTGACATGGCGCATTACAAATGTTGACTATTATTAGTATTATTATTATCATCATTAAGGGGGTAATTACATATACATGTATGTATGAGGATTTGGTTAAAGTAATGTGTAAAATTTGCATGAGTAGGTACTTGTGTATGATAATTATACTAAGTATGAAAGTATAGGTAGGTTTCCAACTTGGATATGCTGCATTTTCCCCTTGTTAGCCAACCTTTATTGCAATAATTCCATAGCATTCATCATGTTATGCCCGTTTCCCTAATGTAGTCCTTCATCAGTACTCTAAAGATCTCAGGATATGCTCTTTTATTTGTTTTTAAAAATATTCTCAGGGTGAGCTCTTTTAAGTCGTTAAAATGCAAGGTAAATAAAGGACAACCAGTTTGATTAGTTTTTCTTTTGAAAATTCATTTGCCTTTTATATATACCACATTGCCTGTAATTCAGCTTATGGATTAGGGTGTTGAATCAATCCCACAACTGCAACAACGTGAAGAAAAAAAGTCCTTTACTTTTTACCGTCCTCTGTTATATAACATTTTTGTAATTATTACCGGTATACAAAGATCTTTTTAATACTTTTTATATTCAAAGATAAGCAATAAAGAGAGTCATTCTTCTGGGCTTTTCTTGCAGTGATCTGTGACAAGTGCAATTGCAATATTTTACTGTTTTTTACTTCTTCATAAAATGTAACGGATGTATCTAGTTGTGCTGTTCATTGCAATGTTTTTACTGTTTTTACTTCTTGATAAAAGGCATTGGAAGTATAGTTGAGCAGTTTATTGCAATGTTTTTACTTCTTCATAAAATGTAACGGAAGTATAGTTGTTCTGTAAATTACAATGTTTTTACTTTTTCATAAAATGAAACCGAAGTATAGTTGTGCTGTACATTGCAAAGTTTTTTACTGTTTTTACTTCTTCATAAAATGTATTGGAAGTATAGTTTTGCTGTTCATTGCAATGTTTTTACTTCTTCATTAAATGTAACAGAAGTAAAGTTGTGCTGTGAATGACAATGTTTTTACTTCTTCATAAAATTAAACCGAAGTATAGTTGTGCTGTACATTGCAAAGTTTTTTAATGTTTTTACTTCTTCATAAAATGTAACAAAAGTATAGTTGTGCTGTACATTGCAAAGTTTTTTAATGTTTTTACTTCTTCATAAAATGTAACAAAAGTATAGTTGTGCTGTACATTGCAAAGTTTTTTAATGTTTTTACTTCTTCATAAAATGTAACAAAAGTATAGTTGTGCTGCACATTGCAATATTTCTACACTCTATTTCATTTCAATGTTTTTTTAATGTTTTCTATACCAAAAAAAATCAAAACTTGTCATAGTGCTTGCAAACAACAATAAACTTCAATTCAACTGGAAAAAATACATTGATCCTTTTCATCTGCTTGTTTATTTAAGGTGTAAGCTGACTTTTGCTATGAGAGAATTTTCTTCAGATTTTACTAGGATATGATAGAAGGCTATGGCTTGGGTTATGATAAGGTTACACATTAGGTTTAGGAAAGTGTTTGTGTTGGGATTTCAGGTGAGAACGGTGCGATATTATGTTTGGTCCAGATTTTTAGTTTAGAAGTTGACTAAAGTTCGAAATTGAAAGCATGTTAATTACCACACTTTCAGATGATGATGTCTATAAAATATAACATGTACATTATTTTTATTGAAGCATTTTCATTTGTATTTAGTTTTTGTGTTTAAAAAATGGCATAGACTGAAAGATAAAAAATTAATGCATTATCTGTCAGAATTAAGGGAAATATAGAAATACCCTGTACTTTTTTTAAACATGCCGCAAGATTTGCAACAAGAAGATGCAAGTCCTGCAGAATAATGTAGCCGTCAATCACACACAAAACAAATCGAAAACTGTGTGTCTTACATGACACCACTGTTTGAGAATAATCACTTTATCACAAAAAATGTAAATAAGATCTTGTCCTCTTTTTTTTACTCTGTCCATCCACTGATGCAAAAGTGACAATGTCGCCTGCCAGCAAGAAGGCCGTTGTTCCATTAACATAATGTGCAGGCAGCTGACAACATTTTTAATTATAGCAGCAGCATTTATACTGCAAGCTAATACATGTAGTATGCAACTGCAGTATCTAAAATAAACTTCAAGTGCAGCACTCTCACTGCAATTATTGACTATTCTATGTTGCCATTGCAGCGACTGAAATCAACACAAAGTGCAGAACTTACCTGGTTCATTCAAGATTTCCAAAGCTCTATTCTAAACAATGAAGTGCTTTGAATAAAAATTGCTTTTTGTTTAGTTTCCCAGATGGTATGCAATCTATCTTTAATTTTGTCATTTTATATGCAAAACACTGTATATTCCCTGCGAAATACAAAAGAGAACGGCTATCTTTGAATTCTTTGAAGAAGATGCTTAAACGTTGTCATGAAGTTGAGCGGTTTCTTTCTATCAAACGCAACAAATTTGTTGTATTACTTGATAAAGGGAGACATGTGCAACTGATGTAACAATGCTTGTTTTACCGATATGTCACAAAATGTACTTCGTTCAAATCTATAGTATTGTTTTTGCTCAAGAATCCTTCAATTGGAAAAAAAGAAAAAAAGAACTTACCTGGTGCTCCTCCCTGACCCTGGCTTGCAATAGACTGTGTTGTAGGTACCTTGAATTTGGTGTTCGGGCTTTGACCTGATAAAAAAGGAGGGGAATCGATATTAGCAAGGCTTGATACTATTGAGTCTCAGGAGAAACAACAATCTGAGACCATTTAATATACCAATACATCTCCCCTTGTCCACCCCTTCCCATATTTGGATTAATGCCGGTATTCCGGCCGGTATTCAATCAAGATAAAATACTCGTATTTCAAACTTAGATTGAATACCATCCCTGGAAATAGTCACTCCTATTAAAGTGTATATTTTCTTTTAGTACAAGTAATTAAATTTAGAATTAACCAACATCTTTCACAGAATGAAGTCTGGAGCAAATGGCCCATAGCAAATGTGAGGATGACCATCTTTAGTACAGAGACATATTTGTATGTGTGTTGCAGGGCCCCAGTATTTGAAATTACAAACAAGGACAACTACAAAAGTGAAATGGGATCTAATCAACTAGAAAGAGAGGAAGACAAATGAAATGAAAGAATGATTAGTGGATAGGAGTTTAAATAATTAAATGGTTGCATGAATTAATGTAGGAATGATGGAATGGATGAAAGACAGACTGATTAACGGATTGACTTTATGATTTCAGGCTTGAATGATTCAATATCTGCGGTGAATGATAAGAAGAACGAAAGGATTCTAAAATGATAAATGATTAAGCGAGTAACATGATGAATGATAGAATGAGTGATAAATGATTATCACATACAAAACACATCAAGGCCCGAATTCACAAAGGAGGTTTGGCGACAAACCTAGGTTTATGTATGTCATATGATGCGTTTTGACGCGTTTTTACAAACCACGTCATGTGACACACATAAACCTAGGTCTGTCGACAAATCTCCTTTGTGAATTTGGGCCCAAGAGTTTGTAAGTAAAGGTTAATAAAGGCAGTTTCCTACCCGGGCTATTCTTCATGCCACCAGAGGGCAGTGTTCGTCTCGGCGATGCATTCCCGGGCACCTGTTTAATACTCTCTTTGCTTTCAGGCACACGCTCTGAAGGGTGAATGATAGAAAGATGGAGAATAGGATCATATTAGGCTTTCAAACAGAACCGAGAAGAAAATTTAGGATAGAAAAAAAGAGGATTACCAAATGAATGTAAGGGGGAAAGTTAGAATCGCTGCAAAAATAAGTTGGAGAAAACACTACTGAGAGATTCAGTGCAATGCTACCATGTGACTTATATTTTCTTCTTTTTATTTCCATAGAAAATTGTGGTTGAACAATGGAATAACTAAAAAATGGATTACCAACATACTGGTAGGTAAAAAGAATCGCTGAAAACATCTGATAAGAAAGACTATTGGGAGATTCTCTTTATAAAGATACACTTTATATTCATTTCTTTCAGTAAAAAATGGGTATAATAATAATAATGGTGGCTTCTTATATAGCGTACATGTCTGTCACGTTGTGACGCTCCAGGTGCTGCCCTGATTGTTACCCTGGCTTTAGAAAAATACGATCACCTAGAGAAGTATTAATTGCTGAAAACATTTGGAGGAAATAATATTAGGTAATGCCATGCAGTGTATCATACACAACAAACATCTTTTATCCATTTATCTCAGCCAAAAATTAATGATTTCTTGAAATGACCATTGATTAAGGGCACTGATATCATAACTATCACATTTTTTTATTTTGGGGGAAATTGCACAGAAGGCCATATCACAGCCTATGATATGTAATTCTTTCTTCTTCTTTTTGGTTGTTGATATTTTCAAAAACAAGCCTGAGATGCTATGTTCTGTGGAGGAAGAGTTTGAGAGATTTTTTCGTTTCAGAAGGAATAAGAGGCAGAATTATCAATTTATGTTTTATTTAAAGGGATCGTTTAACAATGTTAAATCTGAGATACACGGTCCTACATGTTACCAGTGTCTGTGATATGGTGTTATATTGAAGCCCTAAAAAAATCGCGCTTCAAAATGATAAGGAAGTGCCTCAAAAAAGTAAAAATCTTTGAGTGACCGGCTTTACCATACTCATTTTCCCCAATAGACTGTAGTGTTATGAAAACCGTCCGGCGAACGGTTTTCAAAATTTGTAATTCCAATCATTAATATCTTGATAATCAGACAGGCGATCGGCTTGTAAAAGTCATGGAGTTCCTGACTGACCTAAAGATTTATAATTATCATTGGGAAATTGCACAGAATGGCCATATCACAGCCTATGATATGTAATTCTCTCTTCTTCTTTTTGGTTGTTGATATTTTCAAAAACAAGCCTGAGATGCTATGTTCTGTGGAGGAAGAGTTTGAGAGATTTTTTCGTTTCAGAAGGAATAAGAGGCAGAATTATCACACTAAGCAAAGACTTTTTTCCAAAGTCTAAAATCCTAGCAGAGATTTTTTTGTTTTTTAAGCAAGAAGATTGTTAGAGCAAAATTGAATTGATAATAAGCTTGTTTGTTAATTCATATTTTATTTAACAAACCATTCACAAATGTCCAAAGTATTTGAAACAAAAATCACAAAGGAACATTCTAATAAATATAGCACCTATAATAAAGGGGTGTAAATATCATCATTTCAATATCAATATCAAACATTGAAATCTGAATAGAAACTACCAATGTCAGCCTAGATCTAAGACTTACAACAAGCAGAGGTAAATTTAGGTCTTTACATTGTATCCTTATTTTTACTTTGTATCCAATGTTGCCATTCTATTGTACCTTCTATTGTCTGTTCGAAATGCCAAATAAATAATAATAATAATAATTGGAGCTCAAAGCCTTTGAGGAGATTAAAAGTTCTCTGTTGATGCAATAATCTCTCTTCAGGACAATCTGGTGCTAAAAGCAGAACCTCATATAACACTAAACACAGGCCGTCAATATCTCAAAGATCAAAGCTCTTGAGTGATAAACATTTTCTCTATAAATGTATAAAACATAAGACATAAGACTTTAGGCTACCCTTACTAAGTTTTGTACTATTATTAGTATGAGAAAAATGTATTTGTTCTGATTTAGGATTATTAAGAATGTGACATATTAAAGCTTACATCTAAAAGGCATCCAACAAAGGTCCCTATTCTGCCTTTCATTCTTGCATTAACAAAACACACTATGAACTCCAAATTCACAAGGGGCATGAATTTCAGTTGTCAATAGTATACAATAACATGCTTTGAAACATCTAATCGTTGCAAGAATGTTGAGTTGCAATCGACTGCTGATATCAATTGCAAATTTTGCAACTGATACATATCAAACACAACATGCAATCAATCGCAACTTTCTGTTGCAAGCAGCTAGCTAGCAATCAATTGCACAGTTGCGCTTGATTTGCGATCAATTGCAAGACATACGCTAGATATTTGCGCTTGATATCAAGCATAACTCTTTCTTGCAACAGGATTGATTGTAACTTGCGATCAATTGCAAATTTGCAATTAATCGCAAGACTTAACGCTTGATTTTAGGGATTTGCGATCAATCGCAACTTTCTTGCGACGCTCACATACAACAGGGTTTGGTGTTTACCTTGGAGCTCGAAACCCTTGAGAAGAATGAGATGTCTTTCGTCTTTGGCGTAATCCTTGCTTGGTACCACCTGAAGCTCTGCGCAGGATTTGTCGTAGAGACGCTGCAGGACACCAAGCTTACGCGGTGACATGATGGACAGGTTGACATTGCGCTGTAAAGCAATGGAAAACAATCATTAGCATAAATGAGATAAAATGGAACTCAAAAATGTGCAGAACGCACCATGGAAGAGTATAGTATAGAATTGTATAGTCTGCTGGTGTTTGGTGTTAACAGATCAACTTTATCATTATCTACATGTATATAAGGCTTCCAAGTGGTAAAATAAATTTTGTAGATGAAGTTTATAAAAAATACAGCAAAACCTGTATACCAACTTCAAGACTTGGGGTCTTTGTGTACAGGTTCTTTCAGTACATGTTACAATGAGAAACCAGTTTCAAGGGAAACAACAAAATGTGGTCTTTCTATACGTCTGGTGGTAGAGCAGATTTGACTGTTACCTGACTGCTAAGAAAGCATAAATGCTTGTAAGTAAGCAACCAGACGGCCGACGGCTTTAGGTCCTCTCTGAGGGACCTGGTAATGAGGATTAATGCCTTACCAAAGGGCACTAGCGCATCCACTTGGGTTTCGAACCCTGGTCACCAGAATACGAGACCACTGCTCTACCGACTGAGCTATCGCGCCTCCTAGACTAGTTTGCCACTTGAGCAAGATTATTTTCTATATTTTCTAAAGGAAAGAATGAAATGTTGGAATAAACATACCTCTCCCATAAGAACCGCAAGCTGCTCAGCTGTATACCCGCTGTAATGACCGCATTCCATGGCAGGAATGGAGAACGGAGGCGAGTTGGTGATCAGGATACACATTTTATCAATCTTGGTCCTGGGAAAAGAAAGGAAATCAATTAGTAAGTTTTTGATGAGGTGGGGAGAGGGGGGGGGGGTAGACGAAATGGCCCTAGAATCCGACTTTAGATGGTTGATATGTCTGAACTCCTCCTGCTTCTCTCGTGATCTTCATATGATAATAATAATAATATTCATTTGTAAGACGCAATAACTATGTAGATATATTCTACTGCTCTGCAAGAGCTCATAAATGCTGTGCTATACATACTATATGAACAAGTGAGTTTTCAGTTTTTATTTAAAAATATCTAGTGATGGGGCTTTTCTTATTTCTAGTGGTAATTTATTCCATAATCTAGGGGCAGCACAGAGAAATGACCGGTCCCCTAGGGTTACTTTGGTTTTATATGGGGGTATTTGCAACATAAATGTGTCTTGTGTACTACGAAGGTTACGTCCATGAGTTTGAGACTTGATATGCAACAATTCAGTAACATAACTAGGAGTTTGACCATTTAGAGCTTTGTAGACCATCATTAATATTTTTAATGTAATTCTCTGGCAAACTGACAACCAGTGTAGTTCCTTTAGATGTGGGGTTATTCAAGAGAATTTTGGGAGGCTATGATCACATATCTTCATGACCCATCCCGATTCCTTCGGCTGATACGACTGTGGCTCTCATTTCCCCCTTTCCCTGTTCTTTTCCTACTCCTCCTTTCCACCGACGGTTTCTTTTCTTATTGTGACCTTGCTACTCTTCTAATCCTCAAAGTATACTCTGACAGCCATAACAGAGTAAACTCTAAGTACAAGTATACTAGTAGTTATTATTATTATTATCAAGTATTTGGCGTCACCCCTGCCTGGGAGGCGAAAAGTGAACTTAATCACTGTATAAACCCTCGGGTCTCTCCTCCCGGTATAATTGATTGGGGGTGTGCAGGTGGATCACTACACCAGGGTTTCCCCCACTCCTATGTACAACACTACAACTGCCAAGATTGTTGATTTGGATAAGTTCATCCTACTTCTCCCAATGGTCATATGATAAAATATCTGCATAGTCCGTCATCTATGACTCTCACCCTCCCAACCTATTCTCTTCCCCACGCCAAGTGCAGCTTACCCAATAACAATTAAACTATCCTATTGAGTGACTACCCCACCTCCACCCCTCCCCTGCCCACCGCACAGACAGTTGACTTGTCTAAACTCACCCTACTTCTTTCATTATCTTCATATGACTCCTAGTCCTTCATCTATGACTCTCACCCTTCTATCATATTCTCTCCCCCACACCAAGTACAGCTTACCCAATAAAATAACTGTTGTATTGAGTGACTACCCACCCTCCCCTCTCCCCACCCTCCCCCACAAGGACAGTTGATTTGTCTGAACTCACCTTGCTTCTCTCCTGATCTTCATATGATCAAATATCTACATGGCCCTCATAGTCCTTCATCTATGACTCTCACCCTCCCAACCAATCCTCTTTCCCTAGCCCAGTAACATAACTATTTTATTGAGTGACTACCCCACCCTATCCATCCCCTCTCCCCCCTTATTATTTTGAGACTTGATTGACTGTCTACCCTATGGCTACCCCACCCTCCCCCTGCATGGACGGTTGATTTGTCTGAACTCACCTTGCTTCTCTCCTGATCTTCATATGATCAAATATCTGCATCGCACCTCCGAGTCCTTCTGCCAACAGACTGTGGCTCTCACCACCTCCACCGATGAACCTACAAAGACAGACAAACAGATACTAATTAATACAGAGATTCAATCATAAACTGTGGTGTGTGATGGCGGTGTGATGGCGGTTATTTTACCCGACTGCTAAGAAAGCATTAATTCTTGTTAGTAAGCAACCAGAGGACCGACGGCTTTAGGTCCTCTCCGAGGGACCCGGTAATGAGGATTAATGCCTCACCAAAGGGCACTAGCGCATCACCTTGGTTTCGAACCCGGGTCACCAGATTACAAGATCACTGCTCTATCGACTGAGCTAACGCGTCTCCTCCTACATAGTGACGATGAATGATTCATAAAACTGCAACCCATTAAGAATTCTATGTGATCAAAGGGACATCGCAGGAATAGAGGTGCATCCATAGTGACAGTACACCTTTCTATATACATGTATGTGATACATGTACAATCATCACTTTTCATCATTTCATTGAGGTGGTTGGGTATGCACATGTACAATAGGTGAAATCTTAGAACAATTAAAAACAAGCAATACAAGGTTTTATGGTCCAACAGAAAAGATTCAAACAGGGCTCCATCTTATAAAGAGTTGCGATTGATCCAAACCAAAAGGAAGACGTCTTACAATATATCAATCGCAAGTTTGCAGTCTCCTATCTCTTACGAACATAGTTGCAATTGATATCAGTCGCAAATAATAAAGTTGCCATTAATTTCAACTGCAAATAAGATGGGCCCAGTGCCCCCTCTTACAAAGAGTTGATATCAATTGCAAATTATTTGTGATTGGTATCAATCGAACTACATGTATGTATGTAAGAGATAGGAGACTGCAAACTTGCGATCGATTCGGATCAATCGGATCAATTGAAAGTCTTTGTAAGACGGGGTCCGGATCTCCTTTTTAGAGGGCAAACTTACAGTATTTTATCTAGTGTCCTCATAAACTCCTTGGCATTGCTTGTTGGTGTTGTACAGCTGATGGCAGGCCCCGGAAAACAGTCCACACTGTTGAACACCACAAGACTGAATACAGTCTTCTCATACTGATGTACAAAACAAACAAAAGAAATATCAGATAATTACAAATGGCTTCAGGGCCCAATAACCAGCGCTCAAAATACACGGGGGCGATGGGCGATTCGCCCCCGTGAGCTCCATAATCGCCCCCATCAGGTTGTCCACGGGGGCGATTGCAAAATTAAAAATCGCCCCCGATATAAAATAAAGATTTTCAGCGAATTGAATAATATTGAAAAGGATGCAATTCATAGTTGTTCTCGATAACTCTCACTTAAAGGCCCACTGCACTACTTGTAGCTACTTGCGCCCTCTATATAACAAACAATGCCTAATCGGCGACCATTGGTCCCCCATGATCCTCTTTTTCTTATGTTAACTGAGCGCTGAGTTGATGAGATAACCACCTGTCCAGTGACCTTGCAGGGCAGTCTAATCCCTCCTGTAAACTACGGCAGATAAGCTTTAACATATTCTCTTTCTCTCTCTCTCTCTCCCTGTCTTGCATAAAGAAAAATATGAAAATAATATTTTGCCTTGATTAAGAAAAATTGAAAATTTTATCAGTATTAAACAGGGAGAGGGAAAGGGGAGGAAATTAATCAAAACAAACATTGAAGAATCCAATTCAGTGTTCTTTTGTGATGCATAAAAATGAAAGTACATTAAAAGGTGAAATAATAAATTGAAGTACGATGATAAATCAATTCTTTGATGTTGATTGATTGAATAAAAAATAATGAAACAATATGGTCTGAAGGTCGTATATCTTTGAATATTAGAAAGTTTCATCCACCATCGTGTTGTTGAACACTATTTGCAATTTAATTTTAATGCGGTGACGTGTCGGTTACGAGCAGAAGGTCATATCAGGCTTCTATATTTTATAATACTATCAACAGATATCTGGATAGAGACACTTCATCACATTAAGCTACGAGAAAGTATATCATCATCTCACAGAATTCTACTCGAACACTGGATCGAAACTCTTTTCACCCCTTTTTTTCTTCTTCCTCTTTTTTGGTCTCCTTTTTTCCTTCTCCTTCCTTCTCTCTTATTTTGTTTTATTGGGGGGAGGCAACAGCCTGGGAGGCAAGGCCCTTTCGCCCCCCCCCCCCCCTCCCATTCTCCTTCTTCTCCCTTTTCTTTTCTTCCTCTTCTTTCTTTCCTTTTCTCTCCTCTTTCCCTTTCGCTCCTCTTTCCCTTTCGCTCTTTTCCTTCTCTCTTTCTCTCTCTCTCTCTTTTGGGGAAGGGAGGGGGAGGGGCAAGGCCCGCTCACCCCCGCTGGATCCTTGCCTGCATCTACTTTATATCTACTAACGTTAGACCCTAATAATGGATCTAGAAGATTGATTGACCTGGTCTCAGTGACGGGTAAACTTTTTTTTCTTCTCAATTACTCAGTCTAACCATGAAAACCGTCTAATTTTACTTTAGATTTTCAAACAGTAACAGTTACGACCTAAATTAGGCCTAAGGCCAAGGGCTGTACTCTACATTTTAATAACAAATTAACTTTAACGTTAGACTTAACTTAAACTGTTGTTTCTCTGTGATACAAGTGGGAAAGGAACACTTTTTTTTCCAAAAAAAAAAAATCTTTCCCCTTTTTTCCCCCTTTTTTTTTCCAAGGGGGGGGGGGGGCCGGGAAAATTGCAACTGATATCCCCCTTCTTTTCTTTACTTCTTCCTCAATTTTCCTTCCCTTTATCTCCTCTTCAGTGACTGGTCCCTCAGAAACTAGAGCTAATCCAGTCACAGAGAAATCATGATTTCAACTGATGCCTGTCAGTGCATTGTAAATTTGATTTTTCTTCAAATTTCATTTAAAATCTTTTCATATTTGATAAATATGGTGCATTGGCATATGGGCTATAGTTGGAGCATTGGATGCGTTGAACAGCGTTGGTGTATTATGTGGATTTATCATATTCATATTCTGAATATTTTCAGCGAATTGAATAATATTGAAAAGGATGCAATTCATAGTTGTACTCGATAATTCTCACTTAACATATTCTCTCTCTCTCTCTCTCCCTGTCTTGCATAAAGAAGATATGAAAATAATATTTTGCCTTGATTAAGAAAAATTGAAAATTTTATCAGTATTAAACAGGGAGAAGGAAAGGGGAGGAAATTAATCAAAACAAACATTGAAGAATCCAATTCAGTGTTCTTTCGTGATGCATAAAAATGAAAGTACATTAAAAGGTGAAATAATAAATTGAAGTGCGATGATATCAATTCTTTGACGTTGATTGATTGAATAAAAAATAATGAAACAATATGGTCTGAGGGTGATATATCTTCAAATATTAGAAAGTTTCATCCACCATCGTGTTGTTGAACACTATTTGCAATTTAATTTCAATGCGGTGACTTGTCAGTTACGAGCAAGGTCATATCAGGCTTCTATATTACTATCAACAGATATCTGGATAGAGACACTTGTCACATCAAGCTACGAGAAAGTATATCATCATCTCACAGAATTCTACTCAAACACTGCATCAAAATTCTTTTCACCCTTTTTTTTTTTCTTCTTCCTCTTTTTTGGTCCCTTTTAGCTCTCTTTTTTCCCCTTTTCCTTCCTTCTCTCTCTTTTTTTAGCGGGGGCGGGGGGAGGCAAAGGCCTGTTGCCCCACCCCCATCCGCAACTTGTTGGCGGGAAAATTGCAACTGCATGATATCCCTCTTCTTTTCTTTACTTCTTCCTCAATTTTCCTTCCCTTTATCTCCTCTTTTGCATTTTTTCTTTCCATTTCCTTCCTTCCTTCTCTCTTATTTTGTTTTATTGGGGGGAGGTAACAGCCTGGGAGGCAAGGCCCTTTCACCCCCCTCCGCCCCACCCCCCCCCCCCCCAATCTCCTTCTTCCCCCTTTTCTTTTCTTCTTCCTCTTCTTTCTTTCCCTTTCTCTCCTCTTTCCCTTTCCCTCTTTTCCTTCTCTCTCTCTCTCTCTCTCAGGTTCACGGGGGCTATTTTTTTTTTGGAAGAGCCCCCATGGACAAAAATTTAATTTGAGCCCTGCCTATAACACACAGATAAGTTTGTAATTGATTGCTATTTTGCAACTGACCATGATGTACTAGACAATCTATTGATTGTATAATCGTTAATCAATCAATCAATCAATCGTAAGATCAATTGTTAACTGTTGTGATACAGGGCCTAGAACTCTGTTTCACAACAATAGGTTACAAAATTTACAATAATATCTGTTATAAGCTACTGAAATTAGTAGAATTGATTGGCTGGATGCAAACTCGTAATATAAGTAATATAAGTATTGCACTTGTTAGAGATCACAAAGTTTTATGAAACAGGTCTGAGAGGTATGGATCAGACAGGAACTCTACTGTATACAAAACGTTTATTGCGACCCGTCTTGTGTAGGTGTTTTAATATGTTTACATACGTATATGTATTTGATCTGCTGTGAAATTATCTTAGCATATCTATCTACATGTATATATTAAAAGTATATGAAAAACATCCCTGAAGTAGTGATGCACGAAATCACATTGGATGATGATCAGCTGTAGCATCGCAGATATGTTGATATCTATCGTAAGAACCAACCATCAAAACAGTTTACATACATAACTTCTGTTTCCTTGAGTGCAAGGTGCACTCTTTATATTTTTCAATTAACACCAAGGTTTAGTAGGAGGGATGACATAAATGCGTCTAATTAATACTTTAACAGAAATATTGTTCTATTTATTTACTTTAGCACTGCATCTGATGCATCTTAAAGCCCCACTGTCCTACTTGTAGCTACATGTACTTGCTCCCTCTATATAGAAAACAATGCCTAATCGGTGACCATTGGTCTCCCATGATCCTCTTTTTCTTATGTTAATTGAGAGCTGAGTTGATGACATAGCCACCTGTCATTGACAACGCTGTGTGGTCTAATCCCTCCGGGCTAAACTAGTACAGCCGGCCTTTAATAAATCATGTTCATACTTACATCTCCAGTAAAGTCTGAGTCTATGAGTGGGCCACCATTGAAATGCCTGCAAACACAAAACAAATAGAGAATAGTCATGTACCAATGATTACATTTTTTGTTTAAAGAATGAAAAGTATATTAATTATTATAATAAAAACAATGATACTATTAATTGATTTATTCTTGTCCAAAAAAGTGGAAATGCATCTTGAATTGAACTGAATCAAGGTTTATTGAAAAAACATGTGTCGCAGGGCCCTCAGCGAGAACAGTTTGAATACTGATGAGGCTACCCTGGGTAAACAAGACATATTATTATTATCATTATTGTGAATTCATCATATGTACAAATAAAACACTCATTACATATTTCAAACATAAATTACAGTTACAATTAATTTGTCAATTTTGAAATATATATAGTTACTATGATAAGATTGCTTGGGCAGCAAAAATAAGAAAACAGAATACATGAAGTCAGGAAAACGGAGAGGAGAAACATAAAGAAAGAAACAAAAGAGGAAGTAGTAGAAAATGCATGTACATCAAAAAATATTAATTGCATACATGGATTTTTAAAGAGTCATTAAGACAATATACGAATATAAAAAATAGAAAAGTACATATTCTTTTCATAACATTGTTGAAGATTGATATTGCAAGTATTTGTATTATTGCTGAGAGAAATGGATTAAAAAAAAACAGAACAATTGTGGCACTCTAACATTCCTTTTCCACCCAGCAATTACAACCTATACAATAGAATTTGAAACAGAAGGAAATACAGACATCATGCAAAACAGAGGAAACCAGACAAAATAACGATGATAATAAGTCTGGTTAATTTGGATATCCAGTATTGCATAATATTCCCCATGAAGAATTACCTCTGGCTTTAGACAGTCAATCTATAAAAAAATCACTATCTACTTTTATTTTTGAACAGTTTTGTTATGATCCACTCAGTCAATAAGCTCCTGACCTCAGAGAGGCAAAAATTGTCTTATGTTGATGTTGTTTATTTTGTTCTTTTTTTAAGCCAAGTCTCCATGACGGGAGAGTGGAGACAGTCTGTCAAATGGTGGATAGTCTCCCAAATCAGTTACATGCCTCTACTGACGATGCTGTATCTACATGTATACTAGACTACCGGTTGGCCTACTATGGTTTATACTCCATTTTGAAAATTTGGTTAAACATGACAATGAAGTGAGATCTACATGTGCGTTACATATTGTGGTCAAATTCTTGGCTAATTTCAAATCAAGTGTGTTTTATGAGTAACATTAGAAAAGAAGAGTCTCGTATTCCTATACCTAGTGAACTCTTTTTGTTTGTTGTTTGTTTTTATTTTCATGATATAAAAAGAATATACACACTGTACATGTGATGTACCATCAAAAATTTCTATGGCATTATATTGAACAACAAAAAATTACGAAGACAAGAATGTAACATTTAATAAACATAAAAAACAAAACAGATGGCTGCCTGGATAGCCCATGGTCTTCTAACTATGAAGACCAGAAAGAGAAAGAAGAAGAAGAAGGAAAAGCAAAGAAGAAAAACAAAGAAGGAAAAAAAAAGAATTAGAAAAAGAAGACAAACAGAGATGTGAAATTGCGAATAGGTTGGGGAACGCTGTTGAACTCACGAGTCTGATTTCTGAAGCCTGATTTCTAAAAGGTAGTGCTTTGCAACTGTTGTCAGATGCCGATTGGGTGATTAATTAACTGATTACCATTTACGAGATTGATTACAATTTAAAGGCTTGGTTAGACCAAAGGCTTCAGTGTCTGATATCGACAGCTGTTCCGCTGAGACTACTTCTGGCTCCACTGAGCTGACCGCCTCTAAACAACATTGAATGAAGTACATCTTAGTACGCTTACAGAATAGGGGTAGTGAAGGAGAGGGAAAGGGTCGGTTTGACTGGACAATCCCATACCAGACGGTTATTTCGGTCTACAGGTCTAGATCTAGTAGATCTAGGACTAGTCTAGGCTGGGTAAGCATTGAAAGTTGGACAAAAATAATTTCATAATCACATGAATTTATAAAGTCATGAATCATGTTCACCAAATACAAATTCAAGTGAACTGAACTGAACTTCTGAAGGAGTGAAAAAGTAATCTAGTCTAGCCGTCTAGGCCCCTAATCAGATAACAATTATTTAGGGTCTATGGGCATGTCTACTTACACTAAAGTAGGAAGAATGTAGTTGCCTTTCAGCTCATCGAAATAAGCCCCAAGTGATGCATTCCCTTCAATGACGAAAACAACATCTGTGTACTTTCCCTCCTGTAAAATCACCATCTTGATAATTGATATTGGGCTTCCGCTTTGGAGCGGACACCAACGAGATGCTCAGGCCGGTGGACCCGGCTTTGCTCTCTCCTATCTGCGGACTAGGCTGCGCCTCGGGCCTGGCTCAGAAGAAATAATCGGCACTGAATCGAATCAGATTTTTCGCAGATGAAAATGGTAGCTATGATACTCGAAGTGGTCCTGTTTCACTGGAACGCAGCTATCCGAAAGTCTTCATCATCATCATAATGGAATAAATTCGAGAACAGCTCATGAAAAAGAATAAATTTATAAGCAAAATGTATTCATTTTTTCTCAATCTCAGCTCAGCTCCATTGATCAAGCTCAAGCTTCATTCATGTAGCTATACAAGCCAGTGTCGTAGAGGGCGGGGCGCACGACAGAGGAATACGAAGCCCGGTGTGACCGCACCGTTTGTCCTACCAGTTTTGTTTGTCCGTCGGACATAACATGCGGGTTTTCTGCTCGCATCGATCGTCCGTGACTCGCACGGATCGTCCGAGGCACGATCCGTGCGGTTTGCTATCCGCACAGTCTGTCCTCATTTTGTTTTACGTGTATATTTGATAAAAGGAAGCAACTCGGTAAATCATGTGGTAGACATTTTTTCTAGATATTACATAATAATAACTCTCTACAATTTTTTTAAAGCAAATGGGCCAGTCCTTTTGAAAGTAGAAGTGAATATTTTATTTAAAACCTTTATTCTATGAATATCGGCCCCAAAACTGTTGTAATCGATTATACTTTTGTACGTGGCTTCGTTCTTCAACCAACTCACTACTAGTATATACTCGTGATCCAGGAAAATAAAAGTGATTGAAAATGTGGTTGAAAGTGAGTGGAGGAGGCTAGAGTATTTAAGATAAGGTAGAGCGTAGCACAAATTGGCGGATGCTCAGGGTGTGGGGGCATTTAATTACGGTCAGATGAGCATATTTTCATACCTTATTCATGACACTAGCAGGTCAATAATTGGCGTATGGTCCAAGGGGTGGAGCCCCCGGAAGCGCAGGGGTTTTAGGCATTAAAATTACGGTCAGATGAGGATCCAGGGGCCAGCCTTAGGGCACAAGGTGGGATCAAGGGGGCAGAGCCCCCGGAAGCTCAGGGGTATGGGCATTTAATTACGGTCACATGAGCATACTTTCTTTTCTATTTCTTTCTATTTAATTATCTTTAATATACTTTTCAAAAGTGTGGGGGAGGGGGCTTGAGCCCCCAAGCCCGCCGTTCCACAGGTCCTGACAAGTATTGTTTTCCTGATCCGTATATAGGACAAGGCCCTGGGGCAGCTTGTCATAATCCGATATTTGGGTCGTTTTCCGGTCAGAACTAGCCCTTACTATCATTCCAGGATTTTGTTTCAGAGCCTGAGACAAAGTTACCCAATCCCTTTAAGTTTCAAAAAGTAGACTTCATTTAAAAAGTACAAAGGCTTAGGGACCGGGGGGGGGGGCTTGGGGGGCTCAGATATCATTGAGCCCCGCAAAATATTTTGCGGGGCTTATAGATATCATTAAGCCCCCCCCCCCCCCCCAATTTGTCGGTGGGGCTTAGATATCATTGAGTCCTTAGGGGCTAAGATACCATTGAGCCCCCAATATTTAAGCGGTGCTCAGATATCATTGAGCCGCCCCCGATACTTATTGCGGGGCTCGGATATCATTAAACCCCCCCCCCTCCTCCCCAATCATTATATTCTAGGCATGAAACTCATGTATACCTATAATCTACAGGCTTACCATTCAAATATAAACATTTTATAAATATTTATTTGGGGAGGAGGGGGGGGGGCTCAGACATCGGATCTCGCATACCATTGACCCAAAAAAATATATTTGGTGGATCTCAGATAATTATCATTGAAACCCCCAAATATTTTGGCGGGACTCTGATATCATTGAGCGCCCCCCCCCCCCATATTTTGGTGGGGCTCAGATATCTTTGAGCCCCCCCCCCCTCCCATATGTTTGTGGGGCTCAGATATCACCCAATTGTTTTTTGTGGGGCTCGGATAACATCACGGAGCCCCCCGATATTTGTGTGGGGCTCGGATAACATCACGGAGCCCCCCGATATTTTGTGAGAGGCTCGGATATCATTGAGCCCCCCCCCCCCCCCCATATTTTGGCCGGGCTCGGTTATCATTATCATTATAGATTGGTGCACATCATTATGCTCGATCATCCTCTCCTATCTGTTTGATTTCATTCCTCTTTTAGTCATCCTTTATTTGCTACCTATGATATTTGATAAATGCAAAATAAACCCTGGAGGTTTAAAGTTGTAAAGTCCAGGGCAGTTCAACACACGCAATCATGAAATAAGGATGTCTTCATCGAAGTGTCTCTGTAGGTTTAGAACCAAGCCCTGTGCCTACCCGCTCAGGCCACTCTACATTCAGGGGCGTCGCTAAAGGGGGGGGGGGGTGTGGGGTTGAAGTCGGTGGGATTTTTGTTATGTCGGTCGGCCAGCAAGTTTTTCCCCTTCGAGCTGTGACTTTTTATCGGACAAAGAAACATTTTTGAAAATTCAGACAATGATTTAGAGTCAGTACAATGAATAGTCTTCTTTTTCTAATAATTTAATGAAACGTTGAAGCTCCCGCACTTCGCGCGAGAGGGGGAGAAACTGAATTCAGACAATTAGGGTTAAGAGTAGAGAACGGTACACAACAAATCGTCTTCTTTCTATAATAACTTAATGAAACGTCTAAGCTTCCGCGCTGCGCGTGGGATGGGGAAACTGAATTCAGACAAGGATTAAGAGTCGAGAACGGTACAACAAATCGTCTTCTTTTCATAATAATTTCATGAAACGTCTAAGTTACCGCGCTTCGCGCGGGAGGCCTTTCACCCATCCCCTCCCCCACGCGCGCTATTTAAGTGATTCGCTTGCTCAATACCGCCCCTCCCTAAAATAAGATCCTAGCTACGCACCTGCGTTTAAATATATAGCTATGATGCTAACTAAGTTGACGAAATAATTTGTATATTTATGTCGTCGACGAAAATGACCATTTGCGCATAACAATTTAGCCTTCGCATGATCATTTTTGTGATAGTTTCCTTCTGCATTTAATTTTGTTGCTGTTATGAGTTTATATTCATATTTTTGTTATCAAACAGGAATAAATAAATGAATATATAAATACAGTTGTACAATACGATTTGTACGATAGTTGTACAATGATGATAGAAAAACCAATGAAAATCGCAACTGATCTTCCCTAATTCTTTTCCCCCTTTTCTTTTCTTCCTCTTTGTTTTCTGTCCCTTTCTCTCCTCTTTCCCTTTCTTTCTCTCTCTCTCTTTGCTGAGGGGGGGGGGGGGGAGGGGGTACACATCGGGAAAAATTGCAACTGATCTCCCCTACCTTTCTTCTTCCTCTTTTTTTCCCCTTTCCCTTCCCTTACTTCTCTCTCTCTCTCTCTCTCTCTCATTTAACTTTAATGAGGGAGGCAGCGGCCTTTCGCCCCCTCCCCCGATCCATATGATGTTGGTGGGATTAATGGCAACTGATCTCTGCTTCTTTTTACCCTTTTCTTTACTTCTTCCTCTTTTGTGTTCCATTTTAGCTCTCCTCTTTCCCTTTCCCTTCTTTCTCTCTTTTTTTTTTGGCGGGGAGGGGAGGGGGTGGTCGGGGGGGGGGGGCAGAGGCAAGGGCCTTTCTCCGCGATCCACATCTTGTGTGCATGAAAATTGCAACTGATATCCCTTCTTTTCTTTTCTTCTTTTGGTTCTTTCCCTTTCCTTCCTTCTCTCTTGTTTTGCGGGGGGAGGCAACAGCATGGGCGGCAAGGCCCTTTCGACCCCCCCCCCACCGATCTCCTTCTTTTCCCCTTTTTCCTTTCTTCTTCCTTTCCTCTTCTCTCTTCTTTCCCTTTCCCTTCTTTTCTCTCCTCCTCTCTCTCTTTCTCTCTCTTTTTGTTTGCTGAGGGGCCAGGGGAGGGTAGGCGAAGGCCTTTTGCCCCCGATCCACACCGCGTTGGAGGGAAAAAACACAATTGATCTCCCGTACCTCTCTTTTCTTTCCCTTTTCCTTCTTTTCCTTTCTCTCTCTTTGAAGTTTGCTGTAGAAGGGGGGAGGCAAGAGCCATTTGCCGCCCCCCCCGATCCCAACTTGTTCGCGGGAAAACTGCAACTGATATCCCTCTTTTTTCTTTCCTTCCTTTTATCTCCTCTTTTCCCTTTTTTCTTTACCTTCTCTTCCTTCTCTTTTTCTTTTTGCTGGGGGGGGGGGGGACAACAGCCTGGGAGGCAAAGGCCTTTCGCCCCCCGATCACCTTCTTTTCCCCTTTTCTTTTCTTCTTCCTCTTCTTCCTTTCCCTTACTCTCCGCTTTACCTTCTCTCTCTCTCTCTTCATTTTTTGTTGGCGGTTGGGGGTCAAGGCCCTCTCGCCCCCCCCCCCCCCCCACCCCCTGGATCCGCGCCGGGAAGACCTGTAGTGTCATCCCTAGCTAGCTGGCAAAGCTGAATATGGGTTATCCAGTCGTTTCATTCATTAAGTATAATTATACTTGTATTGAATATGTATACGTGTGGACTAGAGTACGGACATTCGGTGCGGCAGGCGGACTATTGGTGCGAGACCTCTTCCGCACAGATTGTCCGTCAGACATTGAGACGCGCACGGAAAGTATGATTTTTGTATACATATCAAAGTAATATTTAGCACATTTAAGCTCAGTGTGTCTCGTGATTCAGCTTTGATGGCAGCCAATATTTTTTTTTTAATCATTCTATCTGGTTATCTTTAAAAATTAAAAATAAATTTCTCTGCGAATATCAAATCGACTCTAAAGTTATGTTCTGTCGTTTTGGGGAAGTGATATGATTCGAGTCTTCGAATGGGTATTGTCATTCAATTCAATTAAATTCAAATAATTTTATTTCATAACTCGATCAAAACATGTCGGCATAACAAGACCCCTGAACATCCGGTGGCTTTGCCCCCCCCCCCCCTGGACCCTATCTAGGGCCCTAAGGCGGTCCACTGGATGCTAATCTGATGGAAATTTAATGCCCAAAACCCCTAAGCTTCTGGGGGCTCTTTCGACCTCTTTGTGCATGGCTGATTGTCAACGAAACGTAGTTAAGTCTTTTGTCGAGTCTGCTCGTTGCTATGGCAGGCAACCAGTAAAAACCAATTCGTTTCATCAAATTATGGAAATGCAAGCATTAATTTAAACAAACAGAACTTTGTTATTTCTGATTGAGGTGTCGTATGAAAGGGCAGAAAATAAACTTTCTAGAAATGTGATTTTCTCTTTGAAATTCAGATAACGCCTGCCAAATGACTTTTTGGTACCCTCTCTTCAATTTGTTTTTAATC